ATTAATGCTTCTCATAAAAGAACAAAATTGTTTAGGAAAGAATTTGGAAAGGTTGCAGCAAGATTTTGTTCATACTTTTACACGTAACAAATAGAAGTAATATATATATATATATATATATAAATAATAAATAATTAAATAATTAATAATCTAAAAAAATTACAAAAGAGAATAAGAAATATATATAAAAAGAACACATCAATTTTTCACGTCAACAGTTTCGTATGTGTTGCACGAGTTTGATTCGATTGGTTTTTTTTTTCTCTTTCTTCGATATATCGTTTTTACTTTAGTGAAAGCTTGTACGAATTAAATCATCTCTCATGAGTCTATTCGTGAGAAATAAAAAAGAAAAAAAAGAAGAAGGAAGAGAGAACAAAAATCTCTAATAATATGTAAAAATAAAAAATTGTTTAGGACTCGAATATAAAGTCAAATTTGTATGCAACGTATAAATACAACAAAATCAGTGAAACACATAAGGAAACACATCTTGTGAAAGTATTTAACGCGTGTGTCTATGCGTTTGCGCAAGAATTAGGGTGTATACGGGTGACAGTGACATAAATATATAAAAAAAGAAAATAAGAAAAGGAAAGAAATAAAAAGAAAAAAGAAAAAAGGACAACGTGGTTACTACTTTCTTCACGAAAATGCAAATAAACATAACGTTAAAATCAACTCCACCCGTGTATGTGTATGTGTGTGTGTGTGTGTTTGTGTATGCGTTTATATAAATAATATTTCAAGCTATTTGTGAGAGATATAATCTACGAGGGAAACAAACTCATCCCGTAGGATTGCATAATTGCGATTACTTAACATCACGAACTAACCTCGGACTATCATGGAAACGTCGGAAAATGATATTAATGTTTTTAAATGATTCAATTAAACCAAAATTATTAAATATAAAATTGTATATTGTTATATTTTATGGTATTAATTTGTAATTGTGTGTATGATATTATATTAATTGTAATAATATTAATTGTATTATATATATTAATTATTTATGGTATTAATTTGTAATTGTGTGTATGATATTAT